CCCACTGGCGCAGATCGTCTACAGCCCGATTGGAGCCAGAGAACCAGGATCGATCGGCATGGACTCTTTATCCGACCAGGAAGGGTGCTAGGCGCTACCGCCCGCCCCCTGAGTTGGAAAGATGCGAGACGATCCATCTATGCCGTGCCGGGGATTGCAGCCAACCCGGAGCACTTCACTGCACCGCCTATGCTGCGGTCGATGCAGAAGCATTGACATGGTTGACCTGGGCGCCTATGGGAAGTTCGGTGGGTGGAGATGCCTCGTGCTATGTGGTCGTGGGCTTGCTCGACTCCGCCGTGGCGTCACCGCCCTTTACCGCTGTGGGTGCCTCCGCCCTACTCCCTCCCGAAGCATCGCCGAGCAAGGAGTACTGAGGTCGCTGGACCCGACTACATCGAGGACCGGGAGCAGGAGAAGGCCGACCGTGTGGCTTCGACTACGGCTTCTAAGGCAGCTTGTCCAGCTTCTGGAGGTGGAACCGCCCAGAAACACTTCCTCCTGCCGAACCGGCCGTTGGACCCTCACACGAAGGCGGCACCGCCCCGAAGACACTCAACAGGCAAGAGAGGTTGATGGTCCAGACGGCTACGGGTGGCTCCACCGCCACCAAGGATGCCGAAGCATCGCTGATCAAGATGCACAGTCGCGACCACACTTTGGAGGGACAAATGCAAAATGTCATCCCTACGAGGGAGGCAAAGGCAAGGGTAAAGGATACGGGAAAGGATCCCAGAAAGGGAGCGCTTAGGGAAGCCAGCACCCGTGTGATGGATAAGTCCACACAGACCTGCGACCTCAGAGGGACACCGAGTCTCTCGGAGACGAGAGCGAGAGTTTTGAGCCCGAGGCTACAGCGAACTACGTTAGCCTAGGACGGGTCTCTGAGACAGAGCCTGCGGCGTACATGGGTTTCTTCGACAAGGGTGACTTAAAGGAATCCGACGAAGAGCTCGTGGACGACTTTACATCGAAAGGCGCTCCCTTCCACTGAATGGCACACAGGCAGTACCTACTTTGAGGTTTTGCAGAACCACCCAGACTGCTACCACTGGGGCCTTAAGCAGAAACAGCCGAGCACCATGCTTGAAGCTTATCTGGGTGTATCGGAATTTCGATGTTCCTCCTGTGGGTGGGGGAAGGCCGACGCTCGGAGGAGTCACATTGCCGGTGGAGGCAAACTGACCCTTGAGAAGGCATCGAAGAGCAAGCTTGGCCTCCTTAATCCGGATCCAGGAGGATGCCCGGAGCACGCGCTTAACCACGCAGGGAGCAGTGCACATGTGATCAAGACGATGTGCGTGCTGTGCGGTTGCCGCGCCTCCGTGGCCCAAGCAAGTGCCTCAATATGAGCTCTGAGTACGTGCCCGCACGCACGCACAGACAACCGCAACAGCACAAGGTCAGTGCATCGGACATTCTGTTTGGATTGTTGCACCGTTGTGGAGGAAGTTCCCCAGAAGATCTTTAAGCAACACTGCAACACAAAGGTTTGGCTGAGCAGGCTCAGCAGTCTCCACTCAAGGTGCAGAATCTCACGAGAAGGCAGCTATAGAGGAGTGCACCTTTACCAAGTTTGAGGCAGGAGACGTGGTGAAGAGGTTCTTCAAGCACATGGACCAGTTTTTGTGGGTTGAGCAGATCACTTCAACCGAGTTGTCCAGTTTGCTTGAAGTGCTATGTACCAAGTTGTAGAGCAGACGAAGTTTCGTATGGACCATGGCAGGGCTTCGGTCTAGTCAAGAAGTAGAGCCCCCTCCTTTGCCCACTTTTTCTTCTGTGCATAGGACACGTGGTAGTGCAAAGACGATAGAGGAGAAAGGTGATCCCGCAGAGGTCAGCTTTGCCGCTATGGCAAGGCAGCAGGGCGATGATCTCGCAGGAGACATCAGTCCAAAGAGCAGCTGCAGCAGCGACAGCGAGCTGTGCTCCCCTGGACCCGGAGATCGACGAGCCGCGACTCCGACTTGTGGATCCCTTATAGAGGACCCGCGAATGTCTGGGTGATGCTGGACGAAGGATGCAACCAAGCGTGCCATGCAACGTCTTGGCACGGTTTGGGCTGCGCTTCAACAGCCTGAAGTCCGCCGACACGTCCTTTAAGGGGATTGATGCCGCAAAGGCTGTGGGGAAGTTCGCGATGCCTTGCATTGCTGATCTCCCCGATTGGTGCAAGGCGAGCTCTCGAGCGTGGAGCTGGACTCGCCCGACGTGCTGTGCCTCTTGTCCTTGCAGGATCAGGTTCAGCTCGGCCTGATCAAGGACCTGAGGCGAGGCGAATGCAAGACTGGCCAGGCGCTCCAAAACAGGCTTGCTTCTCCTGTGCATGGGGCGAGTGTCACGGAGAGGCATCGCAAGTTTGCGATTTGTCCGGAGGTGATCCCTAAGAGGAGACCCACGGAGGACAAGAAGCGAACAGTCTCAGGGACGAGAACTCGATTACTAAGAGGAACGAAGGCAGATCAGCCTACATGCTTAGCGAGCTGGTCAAGGACACAGAGACCCAGCGCAAGCGCGTGCTGATCGCTACGTTGGGCCTGGAGAAAACTGGAGACCTCGCACAGCGGCACTGGGGTCTACAAAGTTCTCACAAAGCTGATAAAGGCCATGAGCAAAGGGAGGTCCCACGGCTTCACCCTCAACGTTCCAAAGCACGAGGATATATGCTTCTCGAGTCTTTGAGGCAGAACTTCCTGCAGCTCAAGGCCTACAGCAACAAGCAGGTACTGTTCCTCGATTGCCGGGATCTGCGCGACCCGGGCACTGACCGCACTACTAGGGACCACTTAGGCACATATCCACCCAACATCCGCATGACCCGAAGAAGAACAAGAAGTGGATAGCCTTTGCCCAGGAGGTCGTGCCCATGGTTCACAGGCTGATCGATACAGCGTCGTCTTTATGTTTTGCAAATCGGGCAGGCGCAGGTCTGTCTCGAACGCAGAGCTCTTTTACGATCTCACACAGAAGACGTATCAGGTATATGCTGAGCTGATCCATTTGTGCGACGGCCCCAACTGGAGACACCTCTGTGGCAACTGCGACGAGTGCAGTTGGAAGACAGACGAGGCAAAGGCAGTTGCCGAGGAGGTGGCAGAAAACGTCGAGGAGTACTGGGAGATGTTCGTACCTAAGGTTGGTGTGAAAGGATACCCAGCGACGCATTGGCGACGACGTTGCGGTGGAGGAGCCGATCCCTCCAAGAACAGCTCAGGCATCGCACGCAGGTGCCGGGTCTGGCAACGGCCCGCCCATGCCTGGCGAAGGCACCGCCGGGTGCAGGCAGCAAAAGGCAGCAGCGACGGGCATCGCCGCGCTACTCCGACGCCAGTGAAAGTTGCCCTGACTGCTTGTTCCGACGCCAAAGGTTCCTTCCACACCACTCGAGAAGACGTGCGAGTCGTCTCAACGCGGCAAGTCGACGATGCTGTGGAAGCAAGACATGCAAATGGCGTGTCTACGTGCTGCCCCTATAGGCCCCCCCCCCGGCCCCTGCGAGCTGGCTGGGGGGCCAAGGATCGAGTGCGGGCCACGCCCGAACTGTGCCATCTGGGTGGGAAGAAGCGTAGGGGCTCTCGGCAGCGCGGCGTTCCGTGCATGGAAGGTGTAGATAGTCACCTTAGCTATAGAGCTGTGGTCTGGCCAGGCGCCAATTCCAGCAGCCCCACATTGTTCGTCTTCGAACCCGCAAAACTCAACGAAGTCACGACGCTGATGGCGAAGTACTCGGACCACACGGCGCTCATCTGTGCCGTCTCTGCCAAGTATCTGGAGCAGCGGACGTCCGATCGTGTAAGCGGACGGAGAAGGACCGGGACACCGAGTTGGAGCTGGCCAACAGGAGCCTGGACCACGACGGGCGCACCAGCTGGGAATCCGACTGCTGAGGACAGGCCCATTCCAGAGAGCCGCCCGCCCAGCAGGGCCACGAGGACCACAAACGCACACGACCAGTGAGCCCGGCCAACCTGGCGCACCCGGAAACTCGTCATGTCTTGATAGCCATGAACGAAGATCCAAATCATGCCACCTGGCTCCCGACAACTACCTGTCGCAGATAGTCGATGGCCACAAGTGCCACGGCGAGACGTCGTTGAAACCACGCCAGCCCAGCTAGCAGCTGGGACAAAGTCCCAGACGAGTTGCGACGTTATACAGACGTTTCGTCGCAGTCTTGTGGCGCGGCGCAAATGGCTGGGAATGGCGCGAGACGGAGAGAGAAGCCACATCGCACCAGCAGCCGGAGGTCTTTCTCGTCGCGCCACGAGATTGTAGGCGGTGCAACACACTGGGTACAGGATGATCCGTTTGGAGGACATCGGATGGCAGAAGCAAATCTCTAAGACTCTACAAGGAGAACGCGAAGATCCGTCCCGACCTCCTGCTTTTGGTGTACAGTTTGGAGGACCAGGTAGGCCTTAGCCGACAGGCAGAGACCCTGGCTCAAGAACTTGCTGAAGCAGCGGACTTCCTGGACACACGGTGCCTTTAGCAGGGTTTCCCAAGGAAGAGTCTGCGCGGGCGTGGTCCAAGGTTCCGAGAAGAAGGGTCTGTTTGGGAATTGGAAGGTTGCGCGCCGTGATGAACCACGAGCCCAAGGAAGTGCTGCTAGTGCAGGTACTCAGAGGGCAGGAAGATATCAGGCAGGAGACCTGATATGTCGCAGGATCTCTAGGGATGAACACTCAGGTGTCTCCACTTGGAGCAAGGTGAGCAAGATCATCGGATTTGACAATAAGACCGTTTGTGTCGTTCATCAGGGAGTTCCTGTTGCCACGAGCTTGGCTCGACTCAGACCATGTACATTGGCTGAGGTTTTGGCGTTTCAGGTACTTAACCGGGGCAATCTACAGTTAACCGTGGCTATCTATAGTACGAGCACGCAGAAGTTGAGAGAGAGAGCAGCAGAGATACATGGATGCCACAGGAAGAGTCATGCCGTGACTGTTGAGGAGCCGGAGGACGAACAGGTGGACCCTCCTGGAGGGATCCAAGAGCCGATGGCTGAGGACACAGCCGTTGAGGCAGAAGCCGAAGCCACTGAGGACTCGGTGCTTCTCCTAAGCGCGTACGCACTTTTGGACACCCGACCAGCGGGACTTCTGGAAGGCGCTTCCCGGAGAGAAGGAGTACGAAGCCTTGAGGGTTTTCTTTGCAGACCGGGAGGACGACAAGAAAGTGGTGCAGTGGCGCAAGCGCCGCAAGAACTTTACGTCGAAGAATCAGAAGGAGAAGCACGGGAAGATCCTTATGTACCGCAAATGCCCTGAGGATGTCCAGAAGGAGTTGGACAAGAGCAGAGAGAAGGAATGTGGCAAGAGTTCAGTGCAGCGATCATTATAGATGACGCTCAATATGAGGAGTTGATCCGCGAAGGACGTCAGTCGTCAGGTGATACCTGCACAGTGGGTAAAATTGAACAAGAACCACAACAAGAGACTTCTTGACCCATCGGTTGAGCCGAAGTACAAAAGTAGGTTGGTTGTTAGAGGGATCTCGAGAAGGGCCGACCCCAGAAGTGACAGCCCTACGGCTGGTATAGAAGCACAGAACTTAGTGTTCTCGTGCGCTGCTTCTAGGAGGTTAACGATCAAGTCACTTGACGTGACGTACGCCTACTCCCATAGATAGCAGTCTCCTACTATCCCAGCCCAATGGAGGTCTCCCTGGGCTCAAGCCCCGCCAGCATATGCTGGCGAGAGCACCCATCTACGGCAGCACTGACGGTGGTAGAAGGTTTTGGAAGCGACTCCGGAACTACCTTAAAGGTAGGGGACTGCGCGAGAACCGCATCTACCGAGCTTGTACTGTTGCACAGATGCCGATGGTGTTGTACAGCTGCTCTTGACGTCCCATGTGGACGATCTACTTTGGGCTGGCGATCCGTCTTGCGATTGGATCATGTGTCGAAGGACACCGGAGCCAAGGAGCTAGGATGGTTTCTGATTGACGGCGCCCTGTGGACAAGGGACAAGGGTAGCATACATCCCACCTTGTGGGCGAACAAACTCGTTCGGAGGGTCTGTCGCTCCACAACACAGGCAGAGGCCTACACACGTCAAGCAGGTGTGGAGGACGGTGATGTGCTGAGGGTAGCGGTCACCGACATTTTCGGATGCCTCGACATGCGAAGGTGGGAGGCTACGTCGGCCAAGTTTGTGAAGCAGATCTGGATGAGAGACGGCAAGAGTTTGGAACCGACGCTTTCGAACCCGAAGTGTAATGAACACTCAGACAAGAGATTGAGTATCGAGATCGCGTCTCTTCGCCAAGAACTTTGGCGAAAGGCTGGTGAGAAAGCTGGTGACCCTTTCTACGACGATTGCAAGCCAGCGGATGACCAGTTAACTGACATTGTCAGGTGGATTGACACTGACGTCATGATTGCTGATCCAATGACTAAGGTCATGGAGCCTACCAAGTTGGTAGAAGCACGTTCGACGTGGAGCAGCCGCTCGAAGAGTGTTGTGAAGAAGCGTGCCAAGCAGCTTCCGTACGGTCGACGAAGAGCAAAGAGGACGACGAGTAGAGCCGTCGATCCTAAGAGGCAAAGTCTCACCACACTGTCGCTGTAAGAGTCACGGGTGTGAAACCGACCCATTTTGCAGCGCGTACAGTGTGTACCCTAGTTTGTACAATGTTTTGACAGCACCCCTTGACCGCAGCGCTGAGGTTTCGGCGCAACAGCATGCACTTGAACCGGCCATGCTGCCCATGAAGGTGTACCCCCAAGTGGAAGATTTTATCCAACTTCATGATGGCCAGGCCAATTTTCGGCGGCCCATCTTGGCCATCGTGGGCGGCACCCGATTGGGAAAGTTTGTTCTTGCAGGACATGTCTTACATGTCTTACGCCGGATCTGTGAATGGCTGAACCTGCCTGATTTCTTAGCGTCTTAGAAATCACCGTGGAAGACTCGGAACAGACGGATTTGGCGGAATTTGACCGCCGAATCCACTCTGGAGTCATCCTTGATGGAGTCGGTGATGCCGTTTTCCTGACGCGACACCGGGAGACCTTACCAGGTCGGCCGAAAGTCGTCAAAGGTGCCAAGTCCGCCACGAATGTGTACGCATATTCGTTTTTCGTTCTGCGCGCGTGTTGTGGTGGCAACTTTCGACCTTAGTGCACGCAACTTGACCCTTTTAGACTGACCATTGGCTGTCCAACAGAGAGAATGTGATTCTTCTTGAGTTGAATGAGCCTGTCTATTCGACAGCGCAGATCGGTGCAGGCCCCTGCCCTGTTGACGAAGGCGACGCCACCTCGCGACCCCCGAAACGCCGATGGCGCTTTCAAGTACACAGTACACGTTTGCAGGCTCTGGGAGTCCGACTTCTCAAAGAGGAAGATCATTTCCGGGGTGCTCAAGGCGATTGGGTGTCCGGAACTGATTTGAAGCGCAGGTTGTTGAGCGATTGGACTTTTTGAACCTAGAAGGCTGCCTGGCCATATCTGCTTTCGTGGTTCTTTCATGCCATCAGCCGTAAGTTTAGGGCTTTGGGCCGAACCACTCAACTCGTGCAGTTGATGGAATGCTGGTAAACCATGGTTAAGGATCACAGCAAATTGTGTGTCCAATAGTCAAATCGTTCTAACAGGGTCGTGATATTTAGAGGCTCCGGCCACTAGTCTTCGAGCTCATCTGGGCGCTATTTTGAACGGAGGTCTCGCGTTGGAGTACTGATGCAGCTCATGAAGTTGACGAGAAGCAAGACACCCAAGAAAGGGGAGTTATGGCAAAATCGTTCGAGAACTGGCTACTTGACTGATGAGTGCATGACCCTAGCCCTTAACCCTCTTTCTGTGAGCTTTCCGAGGCCATCAGTGCAGCCAGCACTCAACGTAAATTTCATAACGCGCAGGGGCCCCACTGAAGCAATCCCGAGGCCAACGGACCCGCATCATGAACACGACTTTTGGGTCTGCCAAAAATGGTTGAACGAATGAACGTTATAGACTCGGCCAAAGGAGAAAGAGCTTGGGGCAAAGCGACTATGCTCGATGCCAGCCTGCGTCTGAGATTTGGAGTCGCGAGCTCTCAGACAGGGAAGTTGGTTATTGAGGTCCAAGTGCAGGGCAGTCTTAGCATTCCGTGTTGAGATGGACGGCAGCGAGTTTTGGCCTACGGCACTGCTTGGAACCTTCCCTGCAGCAGAAAAGGTTTGCTTAGGTTGCATGTTGATTCGGGCTTAGTGCACGTTGGAAGCGAACAGGAACCGCGCCTTGGAAGGGGGAGAAAGGGAAAGAATCAGCGCTGTTGAGTGTGCATGACATACAGTGTTGGCGCTTCTGCTCCACAGAAGCCATTCTCCCAAGGACCGGTTCACCAACACCATCAACATCGCGTCAGGACTCGGGCCCGAAGCGGAGACATCCAGAACTTGGGAGCTTCATCCAAGCGGCGGTGATTGGTTGGTCACGTCAATATCTGTAGCTTATCAGCTCTTCATGAAGTCCTTCCTCCAAAGGTCCATGTCATCTTCCGCACATGACCCCAGGTCGCTGTTGACCAACAGCGATGCAATCCATGAGCTTCTGATATTAGCAGCGCATAGGCACGCCTCCTGTGTGACATATGGCCGTTAAGCTCTGAGCGCTGACCCCAAACCCCTAAACCAAATCGCAGCCACGGCCCTGTACGGAAGCCCTGTGCGATGAAACTCCTGCAGCGCTGCGCTGTCAAGTCTTGGGGCCCTGCCTATAACACCCTGCAGCACCAGAGTCCTGGAACCTCAAATGTACATGTGATGGCTGGAAACCAGGGAAGGCACTTAGCCGTCTCCAGCACCTCGAAAAGCAAAATAAGGTTCAGGAAGCATTTATTGGTTTTTTTATTGGAGAACTTCACTGTAAATTCGTGAACACTCGCGTCAAAGAAGGAATCCCTAAACCCTGGATCAGCAAATTGTCGGACCAGGAGGCCCGGTGTTCAGACCGACTGTGATTAACCACAGCACGAATGTGTGGGAGCCCCAGGAGCTCGGAGGCAGAGGCAAGGACCCAGGGACCCAGGCTGCCTGAAACTGATTGGAGCCTTTGTGAGCCTTTCGTCCTTTAGGCTCAGTTCGGTGGCTGCGTGGTGGCCGCAATGGGTGGACTTCATGTTCAAGGACCGAGATGAGAACATGGCATCTTTGATGTTCAATTCATGTTTAGAGAATGTAGGCTCCCCTCTCCATTATCACGTGTGCGTTGGGCCGTATAGTCGTCGCAGTGCCGTGGCCAGGTCATTGTAATTCGCAATTATGGGGGGGGGGGGGGGGGGGGGNNGGTTCTAATTGCGTTTCTGCGACGACTTCAGTCTAAGTATGAAGTCAACATCTGTCAACATTACGCTTGTTTCTAATGAAGGCCTTCAAGCCCTGAGACCAAGTCAAACCTGCAGCCAACAACCTATACCCACATCGTTTAGACTCAAAGTGGCCCTGATCTGAACCCTCGGTCGCCTCATCCCGTTGCAGCCTTTCGCGGGAACAGGGGTCGCTAGAGATGCGCACCGGCAACAACGGGAGCACGAAGAGGACCCGAGAGAGCTTTTGGGTCTCGCTTCCCAGGTCAGGAAAGCAAGCACCCCAAGTCTTGCGCGTTCTTTGGGACTATGGATTCGTGGTTTGCATTGAGGTTTCCAAGTTCGGCCAAAGGTCTGCTGTGGTGGGCATGATGCTCTACCAATTTCGGATTGTTTTACCCTTTTGCTCAAGAGCATCACCCCTATGTTTTCAGGATTACATTGTCCCAAAGCCAACTGCCTCCTGGTGCCTTCAGCTGCGTGTCCCGCATTTGCATCGAAAAGCACAGCTGAACAACCTGGTGAAGACGAGGCTTTGGCCTCAAACTTACAGCAAGATTCTGCCTCAGCCTTGAGATCCCACAGGATACGACCTTGCGAGATGCTCAGCACCATTAAGAAGGTTCGCTGGCCCATGAGAAAAGAGGGCAAAGGCTTTCGGGGGTTCTGGACATGAATCCAGCAGTTGCTTTTGTCTGTCCTGCCAGGCTCGGGTCGCCGCGTAGTACAATCATATGTCCAGGACACCTAAATCCTGCACATGTTTCTTGAACCAAGATCCACTATCAGGTCAAATTCTATTACTAGTACATGGTCTTTGATCCATTTGACTCTGTGATGCTACACCGATGTACGCTACATTACGGGGGCTCGTGGATTCTTGATTCTGGAGTCCAGATGGGTTCTGCGGCTGAGCCACGGATTTCGATCAGCAGTGCAACGAGTGCCAAGTTTTGAGTCGATGTCTGCTGCAAACGAACCAGGCCAGGAGAGCGCGTGAGCTCGAAGAAACTTTCGATTCCAAGCAACGTGAACTGTTTCTGAACCCTGAACTCCCCCAAGCCTGAACGTGGTAGGCCAAGTACCCTGCGATCACGGAAGAGGAGGAGGCCTTTCTGCGAATGCCGTGCCACACCCTCACCTAAACTCAAAACCACGCAAAAGCACAACTCCGTCTCATCTTGATTGCCGAGCCGTGAACGTAGCACTGTTCTCGAACCCCTCAGCCGGAAGAAACCTGAGAAGTCCCTGGTTCGGGTAAGTCGGGCGGTGGAGAAGTCAGTCATCCGAAACTAAAGTAACAGGGGGTTGGGTGGCTGTGCAAAGTCGCAGGGAGTCTCCAGCGAAGGCACTGGTTCCAGCAGATGAGGATGGATTTATGTCACATGGCACACATCTCCGAGAGTCGGAAGTTGCGAGGCCATATCCGTCCCTCTTCAATGCCTATGCTTGGCAATCTTCGATGCGATCCTCGTCCACATGATGCAGGCCCTGCGATCCAAGAATGCAATCAAGCAAACATCGTCCAGCGCATAGAATTTCGACCTCGAGGCCTTGAGTCAAACATCCTACAGTCCTACAGTAAGCTTTCATGTCAAAAGCACGTTTGTGACGAAACCCATGTAGAACGGAGTAGCCGTTCTGCGGGTGTTTTTTTCGGGCTCACCAGGCACCTTTTCCAAAGAGTTCCGCTTGTGTAACGGGCTGCAGAATCAAGACTTTGCTTGACAGACGCAGGGTTGAAACTGCATGCGAATCGCACGAAATGGGCGAAAGTCTGAGGTCATTCATAGGAGAGGGAAGGTGACTAGCAGCATCTCATATTCTGCTGCTGATGCAAGCTCCACATGTGGTGGTCAGGATTGGGGTATAATGAAAGCCGAGCACATGCGGCACGAGGAGGAATTTCGGGGACAGCCCAGTCTAGGCTTTGCGTTCGAGAGGATGCTCCTTTGATTTTCGACTGCATGCTTCTTCATGTTCGTGTCTGTGTTCCGATACAGTCTGTTTTCCGACGTTGTTCTAATGTTGCTCTTCTCCTGGTCCGGGCCGTCTGGTCACGAGGGTGCGTTGGATAGCAGTTTGGTCACCAAACCCATCATGCGACGATAGACAAAAAGCAAGAGTAGTGGCAGGAAGGGCGGGATACTCTGTCCCTTAAACCCCAAATTTAAGCACACTGGAACGCGTTTCGAAAGTTTACTGGGACGCTTCTCCAATGCGGACTGGCACCTACGAGTAGTTGGACAGGCCCGGGCCCATGCAGTTTGCGGTTCGACTACGCTAGAGACGCTGACGTAGGAGCCCGAAGCAGTGGCTTTTCGTCTATCGGACAGGAGTCGCCGAATGTCGCTGATATTTTACTGAACTCTAAGCCTCCTGTGAGCCCCACACCGATCCCTGCAGACTAACCCTGAAACACGTCCCAAAGTTGAGGAGGGCTTTGGGGCTTGGCTTCTCTTCCTCGATGTGTTTTTGGGGAGAGGGACTGAATCAATTCTGTAAAGCACAATCGACTTAAGAGCTTGAGTTTCGGCTCTGCGTGTTTGGTGCATTTCTTCCGAGTTGGGATAGAGGTCTTGGAATTGAATGTTCGACTCTTCAGCTTTGAAGCTTTTGATAGCGTGTGTAAGAACCGCAGGCGCAAAACCTTCAAACCTCATCGCCGCATCACGACCAATTGGAGGTGTTGTCTCCGGATGGCCACTGGCTACGGATAAAGGAATCGATTTGCAATGCTGGAAGCCCAGCTTTTGTGTTGAAGATTGGATGGGATGCAATGCATTGTTCTGGCTGGTGGCTGGTCCATCACACCTATGAGCGCCATGTAGAAGACAATACTTGTGTTGCCCTTTTCTTTTGTGATGGCAGTAGGTATGGTCGACTTATTTCGGTGAAACCTATACAGTGAACATGAATCAACCACACGATAAAGCTCGACTCGGAGAGTGTATGTAGAGTAGCTGGATCGATGGAGTTCCACGATGCCTCGATGCAAAAGCCGAGAAATGCTGTGTAAGGGAATCTCGGCACGCAAGTGGCTCTCGAACGCGGTCCACCTCCCTCCTTCTGGAAGTTTAAGTCCGGTCGAAGATGGAGAGTTCGAAGCACTCGTAGCCTTTCTGTGCTTTGGCCCAGCGGAAGGCACCTCTTGCTTTGTGCTTTGCACCTGGGGCATCCCTGATAGTCAACTGTAAAATGATCATGAGCCAACCGGCAGCATGTTATGCATGAGGCAACCTTCCGCAAGAAGAGTGCCATCACCACCAGGATACTTCAAAGCTACAGCTGGAATCTCAGAGGAAAGATGTTGCGTGATTCGCAGTTGGGGGTCAGCTTCAGGGTTTGGGCTCGTCTGGGCAGCTTTGTGCGAGCGCTGGGAATGCTCGGTTGGTCGGGAGTACGCTTATTGTGCTCCTCAGCAGGTGTTTTCTCAAGGTGCATACAGTTCTAGTAAAGAAAGCCCTTGCCATGTGGGGCTTCACATTTTAACTACCACTCGCTCTGCAACTTAAGGGAGTTCTGGCGCCATGTCCAAACCGCCAAGTGCGCAGAAAGCTACTCCCGCATTGGGAGCTCTGACTGTGCACGCCCAGCAGCTTAGGTGGATGCGCAGTGATCTGTTTGCAGGAAGCTTCTGCGCCGGCCCAAGATGTAGAATGTAGAAAGTGGAAACAGGACTAGATTGACTAGATGGAATTCGGCTGATATTGGAGACTTCCCCGCCTATAGAGTTTGATTGTTGAGCTTGCCCCTCCGAACTTTATTTGACTAGGATGTTTCGGAGCGGGAGCCTTTGCTGCGGTGCTGCAGACTGAGAAAGAACAGTCTGGCCTAAAGGGAGCTTCAACAATCATGCAAAGACGCTGGCAGATCTAGTCTAGACGAGCCAGCAATGTAGCATGCCTCGTCTACATCAGTTATCAATACGTCCGAGGATTGCTGTGACCATCATCGACACTGGTACTGTAGCTGTCACGATGCCAAGCACCACTCGCTACTCACCGTTCTGCCACTGCCCTCCTGTGCTCGCGTCTCCACTCGCTTTCATTTCGAGTTGGCGCCGCAAGGCTTCGAACTTCTTGGTCTTTCATGGCGTAAGAACACCATGGCTTCACCTCCTCGTTGCGTTTTCCGTTCTAGTACTTTCCACTGTTTGTGAGCAGGTCCTAACCCGCGGTGCGAAAACCGAGTGGGTCCTTCCTCGTAATGTTCAGAAAGATGTTAGGCAAGGGCTGCAATCGGCTGCAACCGGGAACTCACAGGCCGCCTGAAAGCTTCAACGATAAAGGTCCTAAATCCTGAATCCTAAACCTCGAAGCGCCAAATTCAACAGCACTTCAGCTCTATCTCTCCAGAGCGCTAAACCCAGAGCAAGCAATGCCTTTGAACACACATCCCCTCAGAAGAGAAAGTGAAAGTGAAGTTGCGATTATGTTGTGTAGGCTGAAACACCAAACTGTCGGCCTTGAAGGGTTGCCGGTAGCAGAAAGGAAGCTTACTTGCAGAGCCTTCGGCAGAGCAGCCTTGCGAAGACGCTTCTCCGGCAGACTTCGGGGTGTTCTGTCTCTTCTCATTGTGGTGTCCGGCGTTTCGGTTCTGTGTCGTTGAAGGCTAGTGTCCGGGCTTGCGGGATAGCATCGTGCACTTTGCAGTTTTGGTTTCAGCTTTGGAGAAGCCAGTGTGGAGGCTTGCCAAAAGGATCTAAAGCCGACCGCAGAACGGGTCAGGTGTGCATGGTGTGCAGCCAGGGTGGAGTTTTTTACGACCTGTTGTTCCCCTAGGGCTTTGATTTTGGCTTCAAGCATTCGCCGTAGACAACAGTCCTAAGAAGACCTGTCTTGATACCCACCAAGCTTGAGCGCAATGTTCGAGCCTCGAGTCACACTGGGCGCAGTCTGATTCCATACATGAACGCCAAAACTGTCAGCACTTGGCCCCCGAACTTCTCCAATGAAGACCTAGAGCTTGGGATCTATTGCCATGGCCTCAGGATTCAGTAGCAGCTCTGTTGTTGGAGCTCAGTTTAACTACCATCACGGCTCTGAGCGATAAGTTTGTTAGGCTTCTAGAGGTTTGCATCTGCTGTCAAGCTCAGGACACATCACATCGTGATTCCGGAGAAGGTTACGTCTCCACAGTTCTTGGGTCTTGCTTTGGTTGTGGTCCTCGGCTTTCTGGCGAAGCCTGGACCAGCAGTCTCCGACAAACATGAACTTGTTACGCGCCTTCAGGATTAGGCTAGGGTTGGAGCTCCCGGCAGAAGAAATTGCAGTAGCGGAAGAAGCCAGGCTTAGTTCATCATGTTCTCTGCAGCGGAAATTGCGCGGATGTGAAGAGCAGCTAAGGCTAAATGATCGTGCCTCTTCTTAGAACCCATATGACCCCAGGAAACTTGCCGGCGCCTTCTCTACCCCTATGTAGCATTACGTAGCGGAAGGCAGCAGATGACATGACCCAGCTCTTGCCTGTCAGCCCCGGGTTCCGGAAATCCTAGCCCCGTGGCCAAGGCTACAGAGCGGTGTGATGTAGGAATTGTAGGAGGACACGTGTACCTGTGAGGGGACAGTATCCCCTAGAGCCTAGAGACTGAAACCCTATGCACGAAGCTGGATGCTTCGCCATACGCTATGGATGATGATGATGATGATAATGATGATGATAATGATGATGATAATGATGATGATTATGACAAATTATGACGATGACGACGCTGACGCTGACGCTATAACGCTGATGCTGATGCTGACGCTGACGCTGACGCTGACGCTGACGCTGACGCTGACGCTGACGCTGACGCTGACGCTGACGCTGACGCTGACGCTGACGCTGCTGCTGCTGCTGTGGCTGCTGCTGGTGGTGGTGGTGATGGCGGTCTGTTGACATCGGGTTTCAATTAAATGGGTTTGTAGAGTGGTTTTCCTAAGCCCGAAGCCTTGCATCCCGAATCGAGAACGCGGCTGGAGGTGGACGGGCAAAGGGATCAGAATTCGGCATTGCTGCTTAGCCGGGGTTCTCGGCTTTGGCTGAGCGAATCAACCAGAAATGGGTGACTCGTCAGCGTGTCGTCGTGGTCTTGATGGTTGCAGCCTTTCTAATTCTGATTCTGGTGGTGTGTCGTGGCAGTGGTCCCAGCGGCAGATCTAATTTCTGTATGAGTTCTATTGCATGAGTTCTATTGTGTTAATGCTGTTGCTGTTGTTTTGCTGTTGTTGCTGCTGTTGTTGTGGTTGTTAGTTGACCCGTACACTGCCGGGGAAGGCGGGGGGGGATTGGTTACGCAGTGTACTGGTTCACCTCCTTGTTTTTGTTGTTGTTGTTGGTGGTGGTGTTGGTGTTGGTGTTGGTGTTGGTGTTGGTGTTGGTGTTGGTGTTGGTGTTGTTGTTGTTGTTGTTGTTGTTGTGGTCGTCGTTATCGTCGTCGTCGTTGTTGTTGTTGTTGTTGTTGATGATGTTGTTGTTGTTGTTGTTGTTGTTGTTGTTGTTGGTATTCGTCGTCGTCGTCGGTCGTCGTCGTCGTCCGTCGTCGTCGTCGTCGTCGCTGTGGTTGTTGTTGTTGTTGTTGTTGTTGTTGTCGTCGTCGTTGTCGTCGTCGTCGTCGTCGTCGTCGTCGTCGTCGTGGCTGCTGCTGCTGCTGCTGCTGCTGCTGCTGCTGCTGCTGCTGCCGCTTCTGCCGCTTCTGCTGCTGCTGCTGCTGCTGCTGCTGCTGCTGCTGCTGCTGCTGCTGCTGCTGCTGCTGCTGCTGCTGCTGCTTCTGCTGCTGGTGTTGTTGTTGTTGTTGTTGTTGTTGTTGTTGTTGTTGTTGTTGTTGTTGTGTTTATTGTTGTTGTTGTTGTTGTTGTTGTTGTTGTTGTTGTTGTTGTTACTGTTGTTGTCGTCGTTGTTGTCGTTGTTGTTGTCGTTGTTGTTGCTGTTGCTGTTGTTTCTGTTGCGGCTGTTTTTGTTGTTGTTGTTGTTGTTGCTGCTGTTGCTATCGTTGCGGCTGTTTTTGTTGTTGTTGTTGTTGTTGTTGTTGTTGCTGCTGTTGCTATCGTTGCGGTTGTTTTTGTTGATGTTGATATTGTTAGAGTTGCTGTTGCTGCTTCTGCTGCTGCTGCTGCTGCTGCTGTTGCTGTTGCTGTTGCTGTTGCTGTTGCTGTCGTTGCTGCTGCTGCTGTTGCTGCTGTTGTTGTTGTTGTTGGTGGTGGTGGTGGTGGTGGTGTTGGCGTTGGCGTTGGCGTTGGCGTTTGTGTTGGTGTTGGTGTTGGTGTTGGTGTTGGTGTTGGTGTTGGTGTTGGTGTTGGTGTTGTTGTTGTTGTTGTTGTTGCTGCTGCTGTTGTTGCTGCTGTTGCTGTTGCTGTTGCTGTTGCTGTTGCCGTTGCCGTTGCTGGTGCTGCTGTTGTTGTTGTTGTCGTTGTTGTTGTTGTTGTTGCTGCTGCTGACGACGGTGGTGTTGCTAGT